TGCAGAGGGATTGAGCAGCTGTCGATGATATCATCAGAGTGCTTTCCGAGAACGGCGCTTCTGCAGATGATTGGTTGCGGCGCAGAGCGCCGGCGAATGCAGTGATTGCCGTTCTTGGTTTAGATGAGGTTCGGAGGGAGGGCGCGTCGCAGCGGGGCAGGAAGATCAAGACGTTTGTTCAGGCAGGCGCAGACGACGCGTTTCCTGCCAATGCGGTTTCTGGCTGTTTTGATTTCTTTCCCGGCGCTGCGGACCCATGTGCGGGCGCTCTCCTGGGCGAGGCAGACTTGCACAACATTCTGGTTGGTTTGGGTTCCAAGCGAAAGCGGAGAAGGAGATCACAGGGCTCCTCTGCAGCTGATGCGGCGCCGCGTCCTGTCGAGGACCAGCCCGCGGCGTCGTCGTTGGTTTCTGCTGCGCAGGCGCAGCTGGCTCAACGGTTGGCGACTTTGGACGGTGTTTCCGTTGATGAAGCTCCAGATTGTCAGGCTCGAGAATGTGAATGAGGAGAAAAACGCTGGCCTTATCAAAGCAAACAAGTTGAACAAGCAGCTCAGGGAAAAGAGCGAGGCGCTGGCGGAAGCCTTGCTCGTGGCCAGATCTGAGTTGGCCAACGTCAAGTCGAGGTCGAACTTGAGGCCGAATCGGAAAGTTACGGCGGGGGGTGCGCATTCACTTGCCCTTCGCAGAAACATGTCCCATGCTTCCGCTCTGACAGTGTCTGCGATGATTGCTGGCTACGAGGAGCACGGAGGTGTTCATGATGGTCGTGCGTGTATGTTGGCAGAGCATCGGTCATCTTGCGCATTCGCATTTCGCTCGAAGGACCACTTCGACCAATCGATCATGCAGAGCTTCCAGTCAATTGCCATCAAGATGGATGCCACTTCGCAGGAGTTCGTAGACAGGGAGAAGCTGCACGTGGCGCTGGTGCGGTCTATATCTTTCGGCTTGGGTGACGTGCGCTCGTCTTATCACAGCGACAGCGGTCGTTTTGTCATCGGCAACTGGGAGCCCAGAACAGCTAGACAGAAGACCTGCAGCGCTTTGATGGAGGTTGTCAGGGGGACTTCACCAGGGCTGTCCTTGTTGGTTGAGAAAGAGTTGGAGAGCATCGGGTGCAGCACTTGGCCATCTCGTCGCGGCGGCGGCGACGCTGGCGCTCAGATATCGTTATTCTCTCGGTCGGTGGATGCTGGTTCGGAGAACGGAAGTTTCTTGAAGAGGGTTGCGCGGCGTTTGGTTGATGCGCCCAACGCGATGATGACTGCTGTTCATTGTATGATGCACCAGGGCCATGTGATCGCCAAGCATTTGGTCGAAGTCCTTGAGAAGTGGGATTGGTTTGAAGATGGCTGCGGTGTAACTGAAGAGGCGCCTGGCTGGACATTCTTTGGGGTTAAGTATTGTTTTCTGGTGCATCTGCGCTCTCGAACTACTGGAGGGGAGTTGGCCGCCGCAAGCTGATCCAGAAGGCTGTTCAGGCCGGGTACGAGCGCGATGGCGGGCACCGAGAGATCCAGATGAGGTTCTTCAATAAGATCCTTGGGAGGCGTTTGCGTGGGAGATGGTTGTCTTTGGAGTCAGTCGAGGAAATGCTGGTCCGCGCTGCAGCTTACTTGCCGAGAGTTTTCAAGGCCTTGGGCATTCTCACATCCAACAGCAAGACAGCGAAGGCTTCTTGTCCAGGCGCGGAAGAGGCAAACGATTGGGCTGAGAAGCAACGGTCGCGGCGGCTGCACGTTGCGAACCTTGGCCAGAATCCTCTGTGGGCGGCAACGATGCGCATCAGTTTGATCGCGAAGGGCCCGATCGCGCACTTCTCGAGGTGGATCGAGAAGGCGAACCGTGACTACAATGACAATGCGCGCGAGCGCAGTGGCTACTTAGGGCCTACTCCGCTGTCTCGGTGAGTTTCCGACGGCGGCGCCAACATCAGGGCCGGCATGAGCTTGCTGCTTCGCTCGCCGCATTTGTTCAATGAGGTGCTCATCGGGCTTCCTGACCGCATCCGCAACCGATGCAGGCTTCTAGTGGTGACGATGGTGCTTGCAAGTCTGGCTTCTTGGGATTTCAGAATCGGCTGTTAACTTCAATCGTTCCCCCTTCTGTTGCTTCGAATGCTGGAGTCGGGCCCAGATGTCAGGGAATGACACGCGCGCGGCCGTGGCCACCGCGCTCTTGGGCAAGTCTGCAGAAGAGCCCAAGGCGATCGAGGCGAGCGGCGTGCAGTGGAAGATCAGGGTGCCCTTCAGGGCGGAGCTCGATACTGTGACAGAGTATGGTACATGCCCCGACAACCTCCACGGCTTACTGTTAGCTTGGAGGTCCGGCCTTGACACGGGCACCCAAGAGGTCGAGGGCATCAACAGCGCACTTCATGCCATGGGCCGCGCAGCCAATCACCTCAAGCGGGCGCTGTGCTCAGACAGGCTTCGCGTGAAGAAATCGGACCGCACCAGCCCCGACGAGTGCGTGATCTGGCACAAAGCCGTTATGAAGCACATGAACATGCCAGGGCACCTGAACCGGTTTGCAGTCGTCAATCGGGATGTAACGCCTTAGCTTACATTCGAGACGCACTATGAGGACGTGCACTTGGCTGCTCGGGCGGCTCAGTTCCAGCTCGGCATGGCCAGGCGGGTCGACGTGGGCGTTGGTGTCGCGTGGTCTTTTGTGCGGGTGGCGGCTGCCAACGCTTGTGCTGGATATTTCGCGTGCTGGTCGTGCTATCGGAACCAGTTTGCGGCGGCCGCTTCGATCGAGACTATGAGCCAGTCGCGTGAAGACTTGGGGGCGCGGGAGGTTCGTGCCCCGTCAGCCTCAGAAGCAAGCTTGAGGCGGTGGTGGGAGGGGGGCTCGAAGCTTCTGAGGCCGGTGTGGCGCGGGCCATTCCGCCTCCAATGTCGTCGCGCGACCCTTGGGCGGCGTCGCGTTTGCCACGCTGGGCGAAGAGGTAACTATCGTTGACATGAGGAAGTGTATTTGTGACATCTTGCGTACGAAGCACAATTGGGACACCCTGAAGAGGATTGGCATCTACCAAACGCCAGTGAAGTGGCCCACTCTACACAGAGCAACGTTGGATCTCACGAAGCAAGAAGGCGTTCGCATACAGCGAGCTCCAAGGAAGAAGTCACGTAAAGTTGCTGCTGGGCCCCCCGCAGATGGCCCAGCGCCGATTGGCGGGCTCGGGGGCGACGACGGTTCGGACGACGACGACGACATGTCCTTCGCCGAGTTCCTGGAGATGCTGATCGAGGAGGACCGCGGCCATGCCGATGATGACGCTGTGGCAGTCGATGCTGATCGTGCCGATCGTGCCGCCGACGATGCGCATCCTGCAGACCGCGACGAGGATGAGCCTGAGCGCCGCGACGACGTTGGTGGCGACGATGGCAACTTGTGGGCTCTTGAATTCGTTCATGACGCAGCCGTCTTCATTGAGGCCATGCGGATCACGAACTACGACGAGCTCAATGCGTCGGTCGTCCGTTGTTTGCCAGGTGACGCGATCTCGATCAACGGCACCAGCCTGATCGAGTATGACAGCGTGGTGATGTCTGTGCGCTGGACTTCTGCCGCGGGGCGGAAAGGTCGCCGACTTCTTCTGGGTGAGCACGGTCGGATCAAGGCTCTGTTTTTTCCGCAGCAGTTGCCATTGAGGAGTTCGAGGCGGCGCGCGTTATCATATCGAACGCTAGTGCAGAGCATGTCAAAACGGCAGTGCCTGCATATCGTGGCCAGATGCCTCAGTGGTGCCTTGTCATGCAGCTGTCAGAGAATGTCAAAGCTCACAACGGGCCGTTTGACGTGGATGCGATGCCGCTGTTCAGGAACACCTGCGCTGTGTGTGACGTCGCCCGTGGCCACTTCGAGGGCCGCTGCCCAGCTCCACAAGCGCTTGGCGAGATGTTTCTTTGCGTCTCGTGTCTGACGCCATACCATGAGACTTGTTCTGAGTCATTCGGCACGAGGGTGGATAATGATAACGCAGCGCGCAGCTTCTGCAAAGCAGCAGCTTTTTATAAAAAAACAATATATAAAACAAATAATCCATCAACACCAGCAGCGGGCCTGATTCTGACAACCACCTGAAGCCCTCGTCTTGGTCTGATTCCTATGCGCATAGGAATCTGGCCTGCGCGATTCCTACGTGCGTAGGAATCCGACGTGCCCGATTCCGATGCGCGTAGGAATCGGGCATGTCGGATTCCTACGAACATAGGAATCCGACGCGCCCGATTCCGATGCGCATAGGAATCGGGCATGTCGGATTCCTACGAACATAGGAATCCGACGTGTCCGATTCCGATGCGCATAGGAATCGGGCATGTTGGATTCATACGAACATAGGAATCCGACATGCCCGATTCCGATGCGCATAGGAATCGGGCATGTCGGATTCCTACGCACATAGGAATCGGGCAGGATTCCTATGGTCATAGGAATATGGCAGGTCGGATTCCTATGTGCATAGGAATCGGGCAGGGTCGGATTCCTACGTGCGTAGGAATCGGGCAGGGTCGGATTCCTGCGCGCGTAGGAATCGGGCAGGGTCGGATTCCTACGCGGGTAGGAATATCGCCTGTCCGATTCCGACGCGCGTTGGAATCTGGCATGCCCGATTCGGACGCGCCCAGGATTCCAGCCGGCCAGATTTTCAGCCCCCGAGGGGGGCCCCGCCTCGCAGGCGTCGCGCCGCTGGTGCCCAGCGACTCCCCCAGCAGCTCGCTGGGCCGCGGGTGCGAGCACATTTCGGACAGATATGTCTCATTCTCCTTTTCCTCATTCTCTTCCTCATCCGATCTCCTGCCTCCTCCTCCCCCTCCTCCTCCACTTCCCTCGCCTCCTCCGCCGCCTCCTCCTCCTCCCATAGCCCCCTCGCTTCGTCGTCGTCGTCCTCCTCCTCCTCCCGCCGCCTCCTCCTCCTCCTCCCGCCACCTCCTCCCCCTCCTCCTCCTCTTCGTGCTCCCCCCCACCTCCCCCCTATCCGAGAGGGGCGGCTGGGCCCCAAGTCGGACGTTGAGTACTTCGAGTGGGTGAACGAACACTTCCTCATCAGCGACGACTACCATCTGTCCATGCTGAGTTCGGCAGGGGCTTTCGCCGTGGAGCGACACTCGGAGAACAAGGAGGGCAGGGGCTCCAAGGCCAGCGTGACGGAGTTGGCGAAGTCGGCGTGGGCCAAGGGAATTCGCCAGGAGATGCGGAGTCCGCCTTGGCTCGCGCAGTCGGCGTCGGTAGGCGACGACGAGACGTTCACAGCCCTGCACTGGGGGGCGCTGTTGACGGCGACGAAGGATTGCATGCTGAGGGACGTGGGCAAGACCGACGTCAGGGTCCAGGAGTCGCTCAATAAGAAGATCAAGGGCTGCAGGCTGTATTCTCGCCGCAGCAGCAAGGGCGCGGCCAAATTTCTCGCGCGTTACGGCAGCGGCCCCAATGAAGCGGCGACGCCGACGACGATCATCCAGGTCTTCGGTTACACATCCGACGTCCAGACGAGCTTCGATTCGGGGAAACCCGCCATGAAGTGGACGAATGCAAGCATAGGGACCGCTGCGATGAAAAGGAGAAAAGTTGAAGGTTGCCCGCCAGATCTACCCGCTCTACTGGAATGACGCGACTGCGCTCGGGAGGTGCTCGGTCATGTACAAGGACAGCCAGAAGATCATGATTGACGTCGGCGAGTGCAGGGGGGAGTGGGTATGGGGCGTGATCGCCAGGAGGTTCAGGTACGAGGTTGTTGCAAACAAGACGCCGTCCACCTCGTTCGACCGCGTCCGACGCTCCGCAGCCGACGTCGTCAGGATTCTCAGGGACGACCACCCTGAGTACATCCCAGACTTGGTGCTCCTCTGCATGCCGCGGCTGCTGGGCAACTGGGGTTATTGCCCTATGTTGCCCGACGGCCTCCCGATCATCTAGTCGACCGACGTGCAGGCGATTGCGCGCCCGCAGAATCCGCTGCCAGCCGACGACGACACTTCTCAGCCTAAGCCCGTAAAACCGATCCCGATGAAGAGGGCCAAGAAGACCGTCGACCCCCGCCAGCAGCGCAAGAGAAGGAAGGTGCTGGCGTCGGTGGAGCTCCTTGGCTAAGACTAACGCGGCGAAGAACAGATCGTGGAGCAGGACGAGAAGGAGGCGATGGCTGTTGCCAGGGCCAAGTCGTTCTTGAGTTACCTGGCCGAGGTGTACAAGCCCCTGGCGAGAATCGACGAAAAGCAGCTTCATCTCGTCGGCGACGTCAAGGCCATCGCACTGCATGGCGCGCTCCTTGGCAGCGTGAAGCTGCGGGTGAAGGGAAGCAGCTACAAGACGGTCAAGGGCTTCGAGGGATTGCGTGCTGCTTTCATCAAGCACATGACCAAGCGTGCCCTCATCCCTCGCTACTCCGACCCGATTACCGACAGCTGTGCCGAGGAAGCCGCTGATGTTGATGGAGGCTCTGCCATGACCGAAGAGGTTGCGGCCCCCGGAATCGACGAGAGCAAGCAGACCGTCGAGCAGATAGTCAACCACCTGATCACGGGCGCGTGCATCACCAAGCCGATGGCTGCCAACCTCTCAGCGGCGAGCGCTTTGAACCAAGTGATGATGGCGAGCTTCAAGATCCAGGCTGATCAGGGTGGCAGCTTCGCAGCTGGCGGTGATGGCGTGCAGCTCAAATTCTTCGACCTCGTTATCGAGTCCGTGCTCGGCAAGTACCCCGACTCCTGGGGCGCGGTTGCAAAGTTCATCGCCAAGGCGAAGCCCAAGTTCTCGGCTTGCCTCAAGGAGACGGCGACTACTTCTCGAGCGACTCGCTTGCGTGGCACTTGGCTGGCTAGTCTGGTCGCCTTCGCCTGAGCACCAAGTGCCGCGGTTGGCGAGTTTGTCGGGCAGTCGTTGTCTTTATGAGTCGGTCTGCGCGGAGTTCGTCGATGGTGAGCTGGAGTGTTTCCCTTCTCGCATGGTCTCGGCGATGCGCATCAAGGTGTGCTTGCACGTGTGCTCGTCGCTCGCCATGCAGATGTGCATGGAGAAGGGCGCCGACGGCAAGATCGTTCCGAAGAGGTTATTCCCTGAGGTGTTCTCAAACGCTTGCTCGGACCTTGTGGCCACGATAGATATCAAGAACTTGAATGGGGACATTACTGGTATGATCGACGCTGCGCCATCGTGGCAGGAGGCGACGAGAAGCTTCGCCCTTGCCCCCATCGAGGCCAACACGTTGATCGAGACGCACAGCCCGAAGCAGTTTGAGGAGATGCAGCAGAAGTTAAAGGAGGGCCTAACATCAGCATCGAACCTCAAGACTGCTTGGCCGAAGCTCCTGCACTCGTACAAGATCAAGCTCGACAAGCCCCTGGACTACCAGCAGATCACCATCCTACCAGCAGAGAAGAATGTTGCGGTGAACACCATCATGAGCGCCTTCAACAAGACACACAACGACGCCGTCGAAGCGTTGCACGTGTTGCAGAATACGGCCGGCTTCGCGATGAACAGTGCCTTGAAGAAGTACGTCAAGGATCCAGGGGTTATTGTTGGTGCATTTGAGCTTCAACTTGGTAGAGTGGTCCTGCTGCTGCATCCAAGGCCGGAGAGAGCATCTACGAGTGGCTGAGCCGCGTGATGATGAGCGAGAAGGCGGATTTGAACAACACCGAGTTGCGCAAGAAGGAGATCCAGACGAAGTTGAACGCAGCCTTCGCCGAGATCGCAGGCAAGTGCGGCGATTCCAAGGATGACGACTACATGCTCGTAGCCGAGGAGAAGAAGACCGCGGCTGGACTGTCCAAGAAGGTTAAGCTCGTGCGCAACCTCGACTACTTCAGCGCCAACGGAGACACGCGCGTCTGGCATCTGCGGGGCAAGGTTGTCGACGAGCATGTTGCCAGCAACGTCGGCAGGGCGAACCTAGTGGACCTCGGGCGCAGCGAAGGTGTTGGCCCTCGTTTTTTCTTGGACGGCTCTGCGCACCAGAGCTTGAAGAAGAGCGACGCCTGCTTAGGGTTCCTGATTCGCCCTGCGCATGCTCCGCCAGCCGACTCCACCGCCAAGAAAGAGGCCAAATTTACGGCGGGCGTTCGCTCGCAGCTTCCCGTAGCTACTCGCACGTTGCAGTTTGAAGATCTGGAGATCACGTTGTCTTCAGGTGAAATCCTCACCTACAAGTCGGCACACCTGATGCCGTTGCGCGCCGCGCCCGGCGGTGACCGGCAGACGCCCTACCGCGCGGAGACAGCTCTCGACAAAGCTGAGCTGGAGAAGCCTCCAAAAGGGCGTTCTTCCTCGCATGCAGGCTTCTGTGCGACGTAGGCTGGCACCTCTTGGCGCTGCTTGGTCGACGACATTGTTCGGCCAAGCCCAGCCCGACACATGTTTCGTTGGCGTTCGCCCCGTGGCATTGTGCTCAATGGGCTCCCTTTCCGATGCCGCATGTGGTTTTGGCGGCGGGGTCGGGTAATTGACGCAGTGCTACAATGGGCAGCGCGCAAGTAGTTAGCAAAACCTCCTGTCCTTTCCTCCGCCTCCTGACCCTATCTTCTCCCAGCCGATCAATTCACCCTCCTCCTCCGACGACCCCCGCCTCTGCGCAGCGTTCCGCGTGGCGGTGCGTCACAGACGACGTGCCGCTGGTGATCTAGAATGCGCCCTCGGAGAGCTCGACGAAACGGCCGCTCGCACTCGGCCGACCCAGTGCTAGCAGGAAAACCAACAGCTCAACGATGCGAGATTATCTTCCGCTACCCGTCCAAGCTTCTTTTGTTCATCGTTGTCGTGTTCTCTTCTGATATTATCAAGCGCCCCCGCGCCGCTCCGCCTAGACAAATCAGTTAAGCTAGGGGGGGAGTCTAAGATAAAAGTGAGTGGCTGGCTGATGGTTTTATAGTTGGGGTTCCTATGGAATTGGGGGCTCCAGTAAGCCCCAACAGAAAAACAGCAACGCGCGCAGGACGTTGATTTCGTAGCATTTGCGCTTACTCACGCGGGACGCGAAGCGGCGGCGCCTCGTCCTTGCGGGGCCGCACTAAATGCTGCGCTCGAGGATGCGGTTCGTGGATGCGTTTCCGTTTAAGTGAGACTCTGGAAAACGCATGGCATCACAGAGCCGTAATCCATCGGGTACCAGCCGCAGGTTTTAACCGAAATAAGCAAGTAGATAAATCCATAAACCAGTACATACATAATGAAATAAATAAATAAGTAGTTAGATAATCACTTCATATTTTTTGTAGTGATGCTCGTTGTCTGAAGTATCATATGATTATGTTTTCCTGTCCTTCACTGCTTTGTACTGTTGCGTTTACATATCTTCTCGCTTATTCTGTTTTCCTGTTATCAGTTTACTTTGAGTCACTACAATACTACTATGCAATTACATTACATAATTTCAAAAATATGTATTAATGCTACGGGAGAAATGTTACGGTATATATATATATATATATATATATATATATATATATATATATATATATATATATATATAATATATATATATATATATATATATATATATATATATATATATATGTCGGAGTAGGCTGGGGGGGGGGGCGGGCCAGTGCCGTATCCCCCTATGGGTGTATTGGGGGTGTCCCAGTGCTCCTGGGACTGCCCGGGCCCGCTCCCAAACACGCAACGACACGCCAAGAGGGCCTTAAAGATTGCCAAGAGCCCCAAGAGGCCCCGGACGCACCGAAGATGGCCTCAGGACGGCCGACGACAAAACGCCCCAAGAGCGCCTCCAGAGGCCCCTCCAAAGGGCCCCAGATGCCGAAAATCATAAATTGTCCGATGGTTTTTGAAGTATGTTTGCGCTCTCGCATGTTCCGCCTCCCCACGGTCCCGGACGGCGTCAGAGGCCATTCAGATCGCTCCGGGACGGCCGAAGAGGCTCCCAAGAAAACCCAGAGACGGCCCAGGAGGCTCCCCAGATAATTCATCAAGAGGGCCTCGAGAGCGCCCCAAGAGAGCCACAAGAGCGACCCAAGAGGGCCCGAAAAGCGCGACATTTCAAGGTCTCTGGGCTGAGGGGCTCTTAGGACGCCCCCTGGGGCCATCAAAAGGCTCCCGAGACGCCCCGTGACGCTCCCAAGAGGTCCCCGGAAGCCCCAATAGGCCCCCAAGGGGCCCCTAGGGAAGCTCCCTGCGGTCAGGCCCCCAGGAAGCCCCAAGAGGCTTCCAAGAGGCCCCCAGGAGACTACCCAAGAGCCCCCCTAGAGCTCTCCAAGAGGCCTCCGAAAAACTTCCACCACCCATATCCGAACAGGCATCCAGCAGGCCAGTGGCCCATCACTCAGGCATGGCGGCCTCAGGTCCACAACCCCAGTTGCCAAGACGTTTGGTCTTGGAGAGGAATGCTGAGGGCGATGACGACGACGAAGACGACGACGACGATAGCGATGACGATGACGATGGTAATTATGACTACGACGACGACGACGATGATGATGACGATGATGCCGATGATGATGGTGATGCGGGTGACGATAATGACGATGATGACGATTGCGATGATGACAACGGTGATGACGATGGTGTTGCTGATGGTGGTGGTGATCATGATGGTGTTGATGGTGATGACGATGTCGATGACGATGACGATGAAGATGAAGATGATGGCGATGAGGATGGCGATGGTGACGATTACGAGGATTCCAGCTAGAACTTGAGCGCGCGCGAAGCGCGCGCCATGGTTCTAGTCAATGTGTATATGTTCGTTCGTTTGTTTATTTGTATGCATGCATACATGCATGCATGCATGCATGCATGCATTTGTGTGTAAGTGTGTATGTATGTATGTATGTATGTATGTATGTATGTATGTATGTATGTATGTGTGTATGTGTGTATGTATGTATGTATGTATGTATGTATGTATGTATGTATGTATGTGTGTATATGTATGTATGTATGTATGTATGTATGTATGTATGTATGTATGTATGTATGTATGTATGTATGTATGTATTGATGTATGTATGTATGGATGTGTTTATGTATGTAGGTTTGTTTGTTTGTTTGGTTGTTAGTACGTATGTATGTCTGTATGTATGTATACATGGATGCATGTATGCATGTATGTATGTATGTACGCATTGTATGTATGTATGTATGTATGTATGTATGTATGTATGTATGTATGTATGTATGTGTATACGTGTGTATGTGTATGTGGGTATGTTTGCATGTATGTATGTAGGCATTTATGTGTGACTACGTGAATTCCTGTATATATATATATATATATAAACAACACATATCTATACATACGCATAACAAAACAGATCCGCTGTTCAAGGCCAGGCCCATCATGGGTCCAGGAGCGGTGTACATGCTGCCGCCCTGGCCAAGCCGGGCCTGCCCCAGGATGGGCCTGGCCTCTGGCAGGGGATCTGTATAGATCTCGCCGACCCACCATACGGACGCGGACACCACCGACGAGCTCCCCACGCAGGAGTTCTACCCCCTCTATGCCGGCCGCTGGCAGCACGAGGCCATGGAGGCTGTCATCCGGCAGCCCGTGGAGGCGCGCCTGCAGCCCTTCGTGCGGGAGCGCTACGGCTGCCCGGGATGTGTGCCCTGCTATGTGCTGGTGAGGAGGTACAAGCCTGGCCCGGGGCAGCGGCAGAATTTGGAGGTGCTCGGAGAGGAAGACTTGGCACAGACATGCAGTCGAGGGCCTTTTGGTTAGCGTGTCACTTCGCCTGTTCTGGCCCACCACTTTTTGGCGCGATGCGCTATGCACGTCCTGGTCCCGAGGCGTCCACGTCCCTATACTTTTCCCAGCCACCCGCCCCATGGAGCGGAGCGACACGCTATCTGCTCGCAAAGCATGACGTGTCGCCGAGGCCGCCGACGCGACACAGTAAGCAAAAGTTCCCGACTGTAGACTAGACTTTGTGAGGCCCGCGAGGATCTTTTGAGTCGGCGCTGGACCCCACCCCGCTCCGCGCGCCAGGGGAGTGGGGGGGTCCAGCGCCGACCCAGAAAGTCCGCGCGAACCGCCGAAAGCTTGTGCTTGTGCAGTTTCTCCGTCCCTGCAGAGGTGCATATGGACAACACCTCCCATGTCACCGTGACCTTCCCGCTGAACGTCGGCGACTACCTCGGCGGCCTCTACGCGCAGCGAGAGGCTCAGGAACGAAAGAAGGACGTACACGTACATGAATCAACGTTGGTTTCGAAATTACGCATTGCCCGAACGTTTGTGACACGAGGCTGGCCTCGCGAATGGGGGGGCCGTATTCATGCACGTGGCTGGGCGCGTACGTCCTTTGTGGGCACCCTAGAGGTTGGCAGCGATCCGCACGTGCGGATCAGGCGGGGCCCCCCACTGCGGAGGGGCCGCGTGGCCGAGCTACAGAAGAAGGGCCTCTGGCCCCACCCTCTGCGGGAGAACCTGGAGTCTGCGCTGTCGCCTGGCGACGCCCTGCTGCACCAGTCGGATCTCGAACAAGAAATTATGGTAGGTCCGCGTTGCGTTCAACGTTGAACGCTGCCAGCGACCCAGAGACGGTCGTTGTTGAACGACCTGACGATTCGGAAACGGCCCATCGTTCAACGTTGAACGATCCCTGCGGTGTCAGATCTCAACGCAGAAGTCGTCACGACACGAATCTGCCATAAACACCTTAGCCTTTCGAAGTTGCGCGCAGATCTCCTGGATTTGCGCTGGACCCCCTTGGCGGCGCCTCCGGCACCGCCCCGGGCGCTATCTTCGCGCGCAGGTGAGGGGGGGTTCAGCGTCAAAATCTGTGCGGACCTCCGAAGGTTTATGATCTTGTCGATGTTTCTCCTCCTAGGACCTGCTCCACGGGGTCAAGGTGTTCGGCGATGGGAGCCGCTACTCGATGATAGTCTGGTTTGCAGAGACAGCGCAGGAGTGCGCGGATTCTGCGCCAGAGGACTATGACGAGGACAACGTCTATTGATACGGCCAGGGGCCTCGATATACTGAGGTGGTTGGAGCCTCGCAGTGGCATCGGAGCAGACACCAGCAGTATATACCGCCCCGTGACGTGTGGAGGAGCGCGCAAAATGAACACTGCCGTGCGGTTAGTTAGGCAGCAGTGTTCAGGCTTGGTTTATCAGGAGGCTTGTCGCTTGGGTCGTGCTAGGCCACGGGTGTGATATGGTGTATTGCGAAGGCCGTGCGGTTGGTGCCGCCGACCCTGAAGGGGACGACGACGACGACGACGACGGCGACGGCGACGGCGGCGGCGGCGGCCGCGGCGGCGGATGCGGCGGCGACGACGACGCTGACGTGGGTTTGAGTCCTCAGGGATGCTTCTTGGGGTCTCTTTGGAGCGCTCTCGGGGGCCTCTGGGTGGCCTTGCGGTCCACTTAGGGGCGTCTGGGGAGCCTCTTGGGGTCCTCTTGGGGCTTCTGGGGTTTCCTGGGGACCTCTTGGGGGCCTCTTGGGACCTCTTGGGGACCTCTTGGGCGTCTCATGGGCCTCCTGGGAGCCTCTGGGGCCGAGGACTGGAAGTGTCCGTTCGGGTCCACCGTCTTGGTAGCCTCTTGGAGCCGTCTTTGGGGCCTCCTGGGCCGTCTTGGAGGACTCTTGTGCCGTCTTAAGGCCCGCTTGGGTCGTTATGGGGCCCTCTTGGAGGCCCCTTGGGCCGTCTTGAAGAGATCTAGGGGGCCTCTTGGGCCGTCTTGGATCGTCGGGAAGCTCTTGGGGCCCTCTTGGGAGTGCTCTTGGAGGCTTCTTGCGGCGTCTTGGAGGGCTCTTGGGCCATCTGGAAGCTATCTTGGGCGTCTTGGGCCGATCGTTCGGCGATTCGGGGCCCTCTTGGACCTTCTTGGGGGCCTCTCGCAGCATTCTTGGCTTGTCTTAGTGCCTTTTGGGTGACCTTTTTGGGTTCTGGGACCCCCCCTCAACATCCCCCTCACAACCCCTCCCAGGCCCCCCCCGGCGAGGAAGGTATCAAAGGGAAAAGGTTCCCCTTCGTTTCAACAACGACATTGCTCACTTTCGCTTCGGCTGGCGCGCCTGAGGAGGAGGGCCCAGGGCGGGGAGCGGCGGCGACGACGACGCTTCAAACGAAACACCGTCTCGCGGGTCGTCGGATTTTTGAATGAGCCCGTCTACGTGATTTACATTCGTGTCCATACGCCCGTGCACGGGCGTCCCGACACCATTGACAATCAGGCTGCCCATGCAAGCGCAGCATGCAGAAGGAGAAGGAGGATGAGAGGAGGATGAGAGGAGGATGAGAGGAGGAGGAGGAGGAGGAGGAGGAGGAGGAGGAGGAGGAGGAGGGGGAGGAGGGAGGAGGGAGGAGGCGGAGGAGGAGGAGACTGACTGACTGACATCCCTGGGCGAACGAAGGTACGAAGGGTCTCTGCTCTGTCCTTGGAATTCGCTGGGTGGCATGCCAAAGTGGCTGCAACTTTGCTACACAGTGGCACTGGTGTAAAAAAACACTCGGGCCCCCAAGCAACCCGTGAGGTATGAGCTCGGGGCGCAAGGGTGGCGGCCCACACGTTAGTCACACCAGGAGAGACTAGAGAACGGCCTGCACCTCACCATGCAGCGCGGGGCCCCCAACGGCATCCCACACTACGAGGCTAGGTACTCGGCAGCCCCGAGCCTCTCCCTTGCTCAGAGGGACGATTTTGTCTCCCCCTACCTCTGCCTTTACCCCGTCCCTTAAGACGTGGCTGAATTTTTTCGGTCGGGATAAAGCGGCCCCTGGGGTCTTCAAGAGCAGATTCGGAGAGGGAGGAGGTGAAAGAGGCGAGAACCGATTCCCTACTCACTAGGCCCCTAGACACAAGTTCACTCAGACGCTCACTTCCTGCAAGGGTCCTCATCCTCCTCATTTCGGCCTCTCCAAGGGCTGCTCCAGCTTGTTCAAGAGCACGCGCGCGCCCCTCTCCAAAGCCCCGCGTGGGGCAGCTCCGATCCAGATCTCTCCGCCGTGCCTGACTATCTCCGAGCGAATGGCCCCGTCGAGCTCGTGTGCGATCCTGGTCGCCGAGCGTGCCCACTGCAGCCACACCTTGCCCTCCATGCGCTTCGACTTCTTCTTGACCTCCTTGCCCAGCGGGACGCGCACCCCGAAGTGCTTGATCTCCGTTTCCGCGCCTTTCAGCACGTACTTCATGATGTACTCCATCCCGTACGTTCCAAGCGTGGTGCGCACCTGGCCTTCCTCTGTACTCGCGAGGAGCGCTCTGCTGAAGTCCTCGTTCTCTTTGAGCTCCGCCGCCGCTTTGTGGTAGTTCTTTCGTGCTTGAATCTCCGCCTCGGAGCACGGGACAGCCAAGGGGAAGATCGCTGTGGCGCTGACCACGCTGAAGACTGACCTGGGATCGCCCGCGAAACTGAGGACGAGCTTGTCGAGAAAGAGCACGATTAGAAGCACGACTTAGGATTTGGTGGCGCCTTTGCCTGCTTGTCCTCTTGCCTGTGGGAGTAGCTCTTCCTCCTTCTGCTTCTTGGGGTCCGAGCCCTGCCTTCCTGCTGCTCCTAGTTTGCGGCGTTGGAAGCCCCAGCCGACTTGTCCGATGCCCATCTCCTTCATCCCCTCTGGGTCCTCCACCTCTAGTTCCTGGTCGCAGTCGTCTGCCATACGGAAGGTTTTTGCCCACAGAGGCGGGCGCACGAATGTCAGGAAGAAAATGCAGGTGGCGAGCGAGGTGATCTCGAAGCTCGAGCCAACAACCGGCTGCAAATTCGCACCCAGGACATTGTAGTGTTTTTGGCTCTTGTGCAGGAACGAGTGCTCGAGCGAGATCGACCACGCGATATCCTCTTTGAATAGCCCGAGACAAGTGCCGACGTGCTGTGACAGCTGTGGCGAAGACCGTTTCGCACACGATGCACACATTCGTAGGATTGTAGAACGAGCAAATGTTGACGATGCTGTGTACTTGCCGAACGTGCGTGCGAAGTGCCCGTTTCGAATAGAATACTCTACCACACGTCCTCCCGTCCTCTTCCGCCTGGCACTTAAATTCCTCCTCCATGTCATGAATCACCTTCTCCTCGTCGTCATCGTCTTTCTTCTGTGTAGGAGGTTTGCATGTTGGGAGCGGAACGTTTCTGCTGAATTCAGTGGCTCGTAAAATGCTGACATCAATATTGACGAAGTCCTCTCTGAAGTGCGGATCTTTTCTAGCCAGGCCACAATATGCGGGCCAGCAATCCCTTGCAGTGCACGAGCCTCGTCCGAGACCCGAATGAGCGAGTCAACGTCTTGTTGTACTCGTTTCGCCCAAGGGTGGGCCAGCACGGAAATGGAGCCATCGACGTTCACCGTGCTCCTCTGCTGCCCGCTGATGGTGCCGAAGAGTGCCCCAAAGAACTGGACGCTGTTGTTCCTGTCCCTGGCCGCCTGCTGTAGCCACTTCAGCCTCCGAATCCGCAACTCCACCTCCGATCTGGGAATCTTCCAGTGCGCCAAGACCTCTTTGTTCGTTAGCGAGCGCACCGTGCCGTCCTCGTTGTGTGTACAAGCTGCTCCTCTCATCGCAATCCTGGCCAGCGAGGCAATCACGCCGTCGAGCATGTCGCACTGCTTCCGAGATGGGGTGAAGGCCTCGACCGCCGTAAGCGCCGCATTGACCACTCTTCCAATCAGCACAGTGCGCCTCCACCTCCATGATACGCGCTTGGCACTCCAGAAAGATCCCATTGAGTAGAATGCCGCCTTAGCTGCTTGAACTCTCCTCGCCAATTCAATGCTGAAGTTCTGTATACGCGTTAGAATGGGGCCAAGGTACCGTGCCTGTTCCGCTATCAGTCCGTCCCATTTCTTTATTTGATCCCTTTGCCGAAGTTCCCTTCTCGCTATGCCACTTCCATTTCCATGAATTGCCATGATATTGACTTGTTTTGTTTTGTTCTGAGCCAGCCCGATCTTGAGCAGTTGGTCGTCCATGATTTTGTCGCAGTCCTGTAGCTTGCCACGCAGTTTGTCCAGATTCACGTCTTCTTTTTGTGTCGGCATGTGCTGCAAGATCTTTTTGTTGATGTCGTCAGCGTACAAGTGCAGACTAAGGTCGACACCATGTCGCGTGATCGGGCAATTGACCACCAACACGTTGTCCGCATTATCTGTCTGTCTCCACTGCTGTGTCCATGGCTCTATGGCATGCGCAAAGGCTCTGGGGAAGCAGTGCACCGTGAATGGGTCCCCCATGAGGCCTCCCTCCGTCGGCCTAAAGTGAAGTGTACCTTCTACTGCTGGTAGGAGTAGCTGCGCTCTCCTGATTCTCTGATGAGCCAACCGTAAATCTTTGTCTCGTACAAAAGCTGCAGCCGCCTCCTCCATGTACTGTCATCCCACCGAAGGGAATGCATTGGTAATACCCTTGAAGCTGTCAACATACGAGCACTTCAACTGCCTTAACGTGTAGCCAGTTATCATGGAAGCCATACTTGCAGTCTCTCGTTTTCGCCCTCCAGCATACCCGTGATGTTCTGCTGGCAGGGGCGGTGGGCGGCGAGCTTTGATACAGTTAGCAAAAAAGCCTTTGCCCAGTACACGAAGAATATGAAGAAGCCGCCGTCCTTTAGGTCCTGGTTGCTCGTTTTTCCTTGCCGCGTAGCACTCAGAAACGTGCCAGTTCTGCGGTGTGATCGGATAATAACGCAGATTATAGAAAGCCATGTGCAAGCAAGCTTCAATGTAGCTATTGTCCGAGTCTTGTAGATCGTATCCAACTCCTTTGTGAAAGGCATCTTTCTGAGGGTGTAAAATCATCCAGAACAGCTCCGCAGGCGGTGAGCCAGCTGGGCACGCTTTTCTCTTTGGCGTCCGAATCAAATACCCTTCATTCTCATGATATCTCTCCTGCTCTCAAGAAAGGCACCAGTTGCGTGATCGTCTTGAAACTCAGGTACGTCCTCTCCTTCCGCCATAAACTGCCAAGGGTCAGGAATGTTAGGCAACTGGTCTGGTAGTTCTTCACAATCGAG